GGGGAGAATCATTAAAACACAGTAATAAATCTTTTTTATTTTATTTTTTAACATTTTTGCCTTTGTGTGTGTGTGCTCACCAGAGAGAAAGACAGAGATAGTGAGAGGGACAGTGAGAAATCACCTCCTAGGGGGAATGACCATGCCACAATCCCTTCTCTTCCTGGGATTTTGGGTATACACACGTGTGCCCGGCATGATTTTCAAGTCGCCAGGTCTGGGACTCAAACTGTGGTCGGCCAAGTGGGAGCCCAGCACCTTCACGACTATGCCACCTGCCACCAGTAATAAATCTTTACGGAAAAAAAAAAAAATGGAGAAGAATCTATTGAACACCACCAAATGAGTGATTCTTAAGCAGATAGTGACAACTTGCCCGAGTGTAGGTTATTCTCCCATCTTCATACATACTTCATTATCTTTTCAGAGGTGTTTCCGAAGGCACAGAAAGGACACACAGGTAAACATATCCAAGAGCTCAATTAACACCAGGGTGACATCTCTGGCAGTAAATGGTTAACACTATTAAGCAAGACATTTTATAACTGCAGGGCTTAAGTTTACAAATGTTCCTGCCATCTCCTAACTTGAATAGAAAGCATGCAGCAAACTATGAGCTTGAAGAAACAATGCTCTTATTATAAGCACTGAGACTAGCCAGTGAAAATGTGGTATCATGCTATTCAAATGCCGAAACTTTCCTGCTTAGCTTCCTGAAAGCACTGCCATGGTGTAAGATGTCTTATAGAGAAAATGTAGTATTTAATCATGCATTTTTTTTTTCTTTTTTGAGAAGTGGAAAGATTTCTTCAGAGAAACTGCTTATGGAGAGAAGGTGATGGGTTTATAGTATTCTCCTATTGATAAACAAATGGAGACTGGGTTACAGAAATCGACATCCTTGGCTTTCCATGCTTACAACTTGACGCAAAGGTCAGTGCTTTGCTTTACTCATAAGAGTATACAGAACAGTGGCAAGCGAGTCTGTCTTTATGAAGCTCACACCAGACAGATGGATTTTAAGGTAACAGGTGTAATAGAACACTGGAGCAAGTGGAGATGTGCAACTAAGGGGCAGTATGGGAGAGGCCAGAGCAACGAACTGCATTCCAACAACAGTTCTGATCTTGCCTCAGCCCACTGCCGTGTTGCTAACAGGAACACCTGGCACTGGATGACTTATACAAATAGAGGTTTATTCAGCTCATGGCTTGGAGGTCTGAGGTCCAGGGGCTCCTCTAGTGGGGGTATTCTGCCTACATTATAGCATGGTGGAGGGCGGGAAGGCATGGTCTGTGTTCTCTCATTCCCTCTCCTTATAAAGCCACCAGGAGTGGCTGTCCTAATGACCTTAATCTTATTCTCTTCCCCAAAAGCCTCACTTTTCAACATCATAATTTGATCAAATTTTCACCCTCTCAATCCCTTTACAAGGGTTCAACACTTGAATTCCCAGGGGATGTATTCAAACTATCGCAGCATCCTTTCCTCGTTGGGAGGTCTCTAGGTCTCCACACCTACCTCCCAGTAGCTGTAGTGTCCCTTCATCCTCTAAAACTTATGATTTAGAGTAACTTGGTAATGTTCATTTTTCAGGCTTCATACAAATGATTCAGCAGTATGCTAGAATAAAACAACCCAGTACATTAGATTTCCATGGTTTAGAATAATAACCTGCTTATTCAGCTGAACTTAAAATCCTTTTTTGGAACAAAGAAAAGACATAAATTTGGCAAACTGACACTTGCAGGCATACCAGAAACCATAATTACATTTTGAATAGGAGGCAACAAAATACTGTTTCCAATTGCAAAAGGTCAATGCATTTTCTGCTGTTCCAGAAATCAATAGGTAGTTTGTGGTAGTCCCCTCAATTCATACAAATAAGATTAACTGTCTATCTACCTGTCCCCCCATCATGATATAAAAATGATTTAAGGGGCTTAAATAATACAGCATGGCATAAATAAAAAGCAAACATTTAGAATGGAAAATAAAACTAAAGATAATGATATAAAATACAGCAAGTATGAGGTTCTAATAAATTGCCACAATGACCTGTTTTAAAATTGCTTCTGGAACTCTTAGAGAACACAATGAAAGCAAACTAACTGCTCAGTAGAAATGCATTTTTGTGATCCCATGAAACAAAAGTTTCTCCTCAGTGTCTTCATAAAGAGGAATTATGTCAACAACACCCTCAGTAACTTTCCTTAGAAGATATGCAATTGCTAACTCCATGGGGAAGAGAATTTGCACTTTGAGATGATGGCATGGTAGCTAAGCAGAGAGGCATGACAGCATGTGATGAAAGGAGAACCCAGTCCCATGTTGCCTGAGTTCACGTACCAGCTCTGCACTTACCAGCTGTGTGACCTTGGGCATGTTATATGAACGTTAGTTTCTCTTACTGTGAGGTGGGGACAATGGCATTTGCAAATATTGGGTTAATAAGCAGCGTTCATTGTTACTATGTATTAACAAAAAATTGAGTAAAAGCAATTGTCATAATAGATGACAATTTAAGTCATCTGGCTCTCTATTGACTTGACATGAACTCAAGCCAGATGGAAGAACAGTCCGGTCTCAGAGAACTTTCTGTAAAGTGGAAATGTTGGGTTTCTGTGCTGTACAATACTATAGCCACCGTGGCTACCGAGTACTAGAAATGCTGGCTAGTGTGAATGAAGAACTGAATTCCTAATTTGATCTCAAGAACCACAGATGGCAAGTGACTACTGCACTGGATGGCAGATACAGAACACCTCCATCACTGCAGAGTTGCTCTTCCATGTCCTCCAATTACTTCTAAATAGTGTTATCAGCTAAAAGCCTGATGAACATCAGGTGACAAGGAGCTCCAGGCTATAGCCTTTGACAACTGACTGGAGTGTGGTCAATTCCCAGGTGACTGGAGGTCCAGCTGTGTTGTGAAAAGTCAAGGACTGGTGTCTGAACAAAATGCCAGCCAATATGTGCTTAAAGGGAAGCCAAGGGAAGTGCCCATGGAAAAAGCCAAGATCCTCCCTCGAAACTGTTTTGAATCCTCTTCAGAGTACAAAGGAATGGGCTTGATCCCAATGTTCTACTTCATCTTGCACAGCTGGAATTGCTTCTGCTTGAATAATTTTAAAGGGTGGTTCAACCAGATGCTAGCCTCTTCCCCCACCCCTCAGTGTTCTGTTAATTTTGGGAAAAGCTACTTTGTGGTGTACCCTCCAAGATAAACTATTTGGAAAAGGTATAGCAAGATGACTAAATAAGAATAGCTATAGTGTGGGCACCAGATAGAAGGAATAGCAATTGATGAAATTGATAAGATAATTTCACATAAACCATATAATATACAGGCAAAATAAAGGAAAAGTAATTAATAAAATATGTCTTTCAAGATGTAAGTGCCCAAGCAGAACTACATAGAAGAAACAATGTTGTCACTGAGGCCTACATAGAATTATATTGGAAACTTGGGACCAGCAGTTGATGTAATGACTGTGTCACTGGACTCCTATGTAGTTGACCACGGTTCAAGTCCTGGACCTGGGGGCTTAAACTGACGCTGGGTGTTGTGTGCATGAGTTTAAGTGACACCTGAAAATTCTGGGCTCATCTCAGAATCTGTTGGAGGATGCAGGCAACTAACAGGAGGGCAGAGCCAAAAGCACAGGTGACCTGAGAGAAATACTCTGGATTATGTCACCCTTGGGGTCTACCCTACCTCTCTGGACTTCCAGTCTTCCATTTGCATTAATCAACACATTTCCTAATCGTTTATGGTGCTGTAAATTTGGATTTTGGCTCTTTCAGTGGAAAACACTTTGACACATAATTTCACAGGTCAAAGACTGTGGCTTGGTTTAACAAAAACACTGAAAACGAAATAACAGCAACAGAAGGTAGATGTTGTTCTGGACTCCTACACCAGGTGGTAAGGCTGAGGCAGGTGATGCCCCTGGCTGGAAGCCTGTGCGCTATGTAAGGGACCTCCAGTACCAGCCTGTGTCGCTCACCTGTCAGGTATAGGCACACAGCAGGAAAAAGGCCAGTCCAGTTCCCATGTGCAGTGTGTGGGAAGGAATATAAGAAAGGCAAAATGCTAGTTAATCTGAAAAGAAAAAATACTGCTACTGGCAAGAAAGTAACAGTATTAGTATTTGTGCACAAAGTATGGTACAGGATACCTGGCTGCGGACGAAGAAGCTAACTCCCTGCTCTCGTGAAGCTTGTAGTTAAAGAGACAAACAGGAAAACACAAAACATGTTTACAGAGGACAGATCAAGAAATGTAAAATAAATGTGATAAAATGGAGCATAGGATGTGGCGGGGACGTGGCAGGTAAGAGGGGCAGTCAGGTATGGTTAACTACAGAAGCTTTTTGGAACATGCCAGGGCTTGAGCTGAAATGTTAGAGGTTGCAACAGCGGGAGGATGTGTAGAAATGGGGCATTTTGTGTGTGTGTGTGGGGGGGAAGGTAAGTATATTGGAACAGGAATGGAAATTTTAGTAATGTCCTGCTGAGAATATCAGCCGGCAGAGCTCTAGATAAACAAGGTCCCCCTGCCAGATTCACGGCAGACAGCAGGGCAGGAGGAAAGCACACATGTCTAATTGGGATAGATTCTATGCCATCACATGCTGGCTGTTTGACCTTGGAACCGTTCCCTAACCTTCCCTGCATCAGTTTCCTTACCCTAGGAAATGGGGACATAGAGCGCCCAAGGGGGCAGAGGATGAAATGAGTTAAGGCAAGCTAAGTGACTTGCGTGACTCGGAGGTGATAAGTCACAGTAGTTATTATCATTCTTAAATTCAAAGCAACTCACTCAAATTAGTTTTAGAGCATTTACAAAGCAAATATATGTGACACTCGACATCCCTATTACATCAATTTTGAAAAAAAAAAAAAAGTTTTTTTTTTTTAAGCAGCCAACTGCAATCCATTACAAAAACCCTCAAATTAAAAGAAAAACCATGACAAACTAGGAAAACAGATTATGATTAAGGGATTCATAAATACATTTATTGGTGTTATTACTCAATGATGAATGTAGAGAATATACAGAAATTAACATTTAGAAGAAAACATTAATCTTAAAAAATGCAAGATATTTACATATATATCAACCAATTCTGCATTTCTGTTTAGATTTACAAACAACTGTAAAGCTAATTGCAAGGCTTTCATTCTGAGTGTCCTTCAAATTTGAGTTCTCATCTTGTATTCTGAATTCTAAAGCCAGCTGCTTTTTGCTGTCTTTACACCAACTATGATTTTTTTTTTGTCTCTAACCTAAAAAGCAAGACTCGGCAAGCTGATTCTGAAGCAGCCAGTTAATTAGGAATTTTAAAACAGCTCTTAAAGGAGGATATAAGTCATACAAAGAAAAAAGCCTCAGTATTAGATACATAAATACAAAAGAAAAAATATCAAGAAGCTAAAGAATCACAGAAATACCAATTCTATTCTAAACTATGATATCTAATTCTAACAACAATTCAATTAGCAGTAGCTTAGATGCTTTTGTTTTAAAAAATAAACCATTAGTTCTTCTACTACAATTTTCTGACTTCACTCAAGGGACAATTATCAAGCCTTCATCCTTTTTCAATAACCTAAGAATATGATTTATATGTTATAGAATCATGAACAAAAGAGGCCTTCAAACATATCGCTGTAAGCTGCAATACAGTTTGGGGGCCAGATTTGAATTTACATAATATTACCCTTCATAAAGAGTTTATGACACCCCGGATGATACTGTTCGGCGCTGTTAACTCAGAAAAACTCCATCTATTCTTGCCATCAGAGAATTTCTGATATGGATGGTGAGTCTAACAGGGCCTCTAAATAGGATTGCACATGAAATAATTATGAACTATGATACAACTGTGACAACACAGCTAGCTTATAGAACTGAATTGTTCATTATAATAAAAGTACTACAGAATTACAGTGACAGTTAAACATCAGAATTTTTTTTTTGTGCTAACTATTCAGTAGAAGAGTTTTCTAGCTGTGTTCTTGATGAATAAGGTACCTTAGAAGTAAGCACTGGGGGAAACGAAAATGAGAACAAAATGAACTTCTCAAGTTTACTTTTTACAGATATGAACAAGCAAAGCAGTTCACACACAAAAAAACCGAAAAGTATCCTAAAAACAAATAAATATAAGTTCAAGTCAATCATTTTTGAAGAAAATATAGCTCATTTTCAAAAGTTCTGTTTGGTTTGTGATTAAACTTCAAAATAACAAAATAAACCAAACATTAATAGATTCCAATAATACTAATTTGCTCTATTGGATCTGAAAAATGTAATTCAAGTTCGAAGTTGAAATGTCTCACTCTCTCCCTTCTTCCTAAATAAAGTAAATAAAAAGAGAAAAGGGGCTTTTGCAAAAACTAGCAAAGACAAAAAGTTACCAACAAAAGCTGATCATGTAAGAAACCCTTTTTCTTTCTGAAGACCTCAGTTGGTCCTCTATCAGGGTAGGGTTTCTACAGCAAGAACTTCCTCGGCTCTTCCTTTACTTCTCTCCTCTAGTCATCCCCATGTTTTCATCAGACAAGGCCTGTGTAGATTTGCCTAGGAATCAGGTTGAGTCAGAGGTGGCGTCAGGATGAAGTGTACTTACTTGACTATGGTATGCAGTTAGTTCAAAGGAACACAGAAAAGGATTACAGTAAGTAAAAAATGCAAAAAGAAAAATGTACAAGCCCTCACTGCTTTGCACTAAGAATTTGAGAAACAGAACAAATATTAGATGCAGGAAACAGGCGTCTGCCTCTTCTCCCATTAGCCCCCTTAATGTACCAGTTCGGGCTGGTTTTCCACAAAGGGTAGTACCCCACTCACATAGTAGGCAATGCCAAGTGACAGCAAGGCAATGACAAAGATCAAGAGCAACACCCTCCAGAAACCCAGATCCTCTACAAACTCCTGCCACGTGGTTCGAAAGCTGGAAAGGACTCCTTCTCCTTGCTGTAGGTTGGGATTGAGGAGAGAATGGCTTTCCATGGCACTGTGAAAGAAGAAAAGATGAAAAAAAAAAGGGGGCATGAAACAACACACTTTATCCCTTTCAAAATCAACAAGAATTCTATTATTGAGCAAAGATAAACTTTATGAATAGCACTTAAAAGAACTGACTTTTGTAAATAGTCACTTGCATTATAATTGAAATATCCCTATATACCCAATCTACCTTAAAACTGTAAACTGCTAAATTACGAAGATTATGTTTCTTGGTTGGGTATCTAACAGAGCCAAGTTAAAAATGCTAACAAGAGGCCAGCAGGTGGCATGGTGGTTAAGGCACTGAACTCTCACACGGCCAACCACGGCTGAGTCCCAGACCAAGCGACTTGAAAATCATACCGGATGCCTGTGCGTGTGTGTCCAAAATCCCGAGAGATGAACGGGAGACAAGGGATTGCAGTGTGGCCAGCCCCTGTAGGGAGTGATTTTTCACTTTTGCTCTTTGTCTCTCTGTCTCTCTAGTGAACACACAAACCCTATTGCAAAAACAAAACAAAACAAAACTTAAAAAAAAATAAAATTTTAACAAAGAGGTCCCAAGCAGAAGTCATGAAATAGGACAAATGATATGTTTTTATCAAGATGCTAAGCCAAATCACATTTTGGTTATTTAGAAGTTTCAACATAAAGATTTATAATTTGAGAATTCATATCAATGGAAATAAGCAAAACAGGTAAATCCAAACAAATCTTTTATATACAATGTATGAATCTTAAAGTTAAAAGGGAATTTTTTTTAAAAGGGAATTTTTATTAATTTACTTCAATAATCTGACCAATAAAGGTTTTCTTTCCTTCTTCCTTTCTTTCTTTCTTTTCCTCTCTCCTTTCCTTCCTCTTTCCTTTCCTCTCTCCCTCCCTCCCTCCCTTCCTCCCTTCACTTGGTAGAGGGAATGTGCACTCACCAGAGACAGAGAGAGAAGAAAAGTGAGAAAGCACCCCCCATGGGGCATGGTTACACTGTAATCCCTTCTTCCCATTTTTCCTTTCAGAATTTTGGGCATGCATGCACATGTGCCTGGCATGTTTTTCAAGCCACCAGGTCCGAGACTCAAAATGTACAGTCAGTCACATGGGATCCAGCCACATTAACTGCCATATTATTGGCTGCCCCCAAGGAATTCTTTCTTCACGTATACTGTTCTAATATTGGAGGCTTACTCCTTCGTCTGTTGTCCATATGGACTGGTGTGGTCACTGGGAATTATTAATAGTTTCCTCCTACTGGTTTTAGTTCTGTCTTGTCTAATAATAAATACAGAGTAAGTTTATTTCTCTTCTGCATTCGGGTTGAGTTTAGTTGAAAATAAAATATTTTGCAAGTACCACAAAAACACTGATTCTGAGCTCTACCAAGGAGAATTATGACCACCACAAAGAGAAAACAGTATCTCTGACGTGGGAACTTGGAAGGCTGCACTGTGAGGAACTGAAAGCGCCAAGGAATTAGCATGCACAGCTCTGTTACGACATGCAGGCTCCATAATAGGGTATCATTAGATTAAAGCCACAATGACCATAATTATATGTATCAATTATCTGTTGGTTATAAAAAGGTCATCACCACCCTTCAAGAAACCCCTTCTTTTCATATTCTTCCAACCATCTGGCACAAACAATGAAAACAGCATTTAGATTCATGTTCACCATGAATGAAGAGTAAGCAAATGCAAAATTGTCAAATTTTTAAACCTATAACTTTACTTCCTGACACTGTAAGTCAACGATTTCTCAGTCTCTACCAGAAAATAATTATTCATTATAAAAAGATGACCTCCTAATGGGCCAGTCCTAATGGGCCAGTCTATTTGACTAGCCAAAAACTTTTTAATATTACAAGATGTCAGGCCAGCTGGCGGTGTGGCGGTTAAGATGGCTGGATCCCACATGCTATACAGTTTGTGTCATGAACCTGATGACTTGAAAACCTTGCCAGGTGCGTGCCTAAAATCCCTAGAGGAGAATGGAGGAGAAAGGATTGTGTTTTTCTCGCTTTCCATCTCTCTCTTTTTATCTCTTTTCAGAGAGAGAGAGATATTTATTCTCTGATAAATTTTTTGTAAGTGGGAATCTATAATAGAGAAATATAAAAAAACTTGAGCAAATTCAGAAATAAGACTAGAACTTTGGGAAGACCTAAATAGATAAAATGGCTCAGGACAGGTGCAATCTGACCTGTATGAAATTTACTATGACTAAGTTGACGTGCCCTCATACTCAAAGGTTAGGTATAAATTGGGACTCAGTGAGTATTCTGGAGGAGCTTATAAAGCCCTGCCAATCAGAATTTTCCATAGAGACTTTATCTAATGAAATGTTTTCTCCTGTTCATGGAATACTCAGCATAAAGGTGTGTATGCGTATATGTGTGTAATCTTGTCTTTTATAAAAACATGTATCATATACATTACCTTTGTCATCTCACACCTACAAAGTAAAAGGGAACTAAATTAAACTTAGAATAATGTGGAGGAATGGTGAAATTTTTTTTTTTTTTGAGAGGTTTTTGGTATAGGGCAGGTGCACTTGCCTGAAAAGACAGAGAAAGACAGAGAGATAAAGCTAGAAATCACCCCCCAGGGGGGATGGCCATGCTGCAACCTCTTCTCCTCCATTCTCCTCTGAGGACCTTGGGCACACATGCACACACGCCTGGCATAAGTTTAAGCCACCGGGTCCAGGACTCGAACTGTGGTTGACTACATGGGAGTCCAGTGACGTAGCCATTATACCAATTACTGGTCCCAAAATGGTGAAATATTTTTCAATTTGATTTACAGACCCTTGAATGTTATGGTCCATAGAAGTTATGCTATGTCATAGGGAATCCTGAGGGAAATGGAAAATATTGAAGAAAATACATTTAAAACCTTGCCTTATCTTCTGTTCTAGCAAAGGTTAATATTAATGCAGTTATGCCATAATACCACATGCAGGCTAATCCTTTTACCATTCACCCCCACTTTTTATTGAGATACAAGTCACACAGTACACAATTCACCTTTCCACACCGTACAAGTGAATGGCTTTTAGTATATTCACAAAATTATACAGCAACCATCACTACTTAATTCCAGTACATTTCATCCCTTATAAGATATTCAGTACCTATTAGCAGTCACTCCTCATCACCCTCTCCCTAGCTCTTGGTAACAAATCAACTACTTTCTGTCTCCATGGATTTGCCCATTTGCCCATTCTGGACATTTCATATAAATGGAATCATATGATATATGACTTTTTGTAACTGGCTGCTTCCATGTAGCTTATTTTCAGAATTCATCCATGTTATAGCTTATATAGGCACTTCATTCCTTTTTATGGTGGAATAATATTCCACTAAATGGATGGATGACATTCTGTTTATCCATTCATCCACTGCTGATGTTTGAGTGATTTTCACATCTGGCTGTTATGAATAATGTTGCTGTGAGTATGTGTGTACAAGCTTTGTTGTGGACATAAGCTTTAAATTTTCTTTGGTATATACCCAGAAGTGGAACAGGTGGGTCAGATGATAACTGTGTGTATAACTTTTCGAAGAATTGCCAAAATGTTCCCCAAAGCGGCTGCACTATTTTACATTCCCATCAGCAACGCATGAAGGTTCCAATTTCTCCTCATTTTCAATCATACTTGTTATTGTCTGTCTTTGTGATTATAGCCCTCTTAGTGGGTGAAAGTGGCCTCTCACTTGGTTTTGATCAGTGTTTTTCTAGTGACAATGCCTTTAAACTTTTTAATTTAAGCTTCAACCACTGATTTCTTCCTTGACACTGAGAGGTAGGAGTAAGATAGGGAAACTAGGTACAAATATTAACAATTAAATTTTTCAAGAACTGGCTTTATATAATTTTATAAATAACACAAATTCTCATGATGAAGTAAAATGGCAAAAGTAAGTATTTCATACTGAGCTGCTCAAATGACTAATTGCTTCTCAGTTAACAAGTGATCACAGGGGACCAGTGGGTAGCATGGTGGTTAAGGCATTGAACACTCTCACTTGGCTGACCACGGTTTGAGTCCCAGACCTAGTGGCTTGCTTTCTTACTTTATCTTTGTGTGTCTCTCTCTGGTCAAATGAAAAATAAATGAATAAATAAATAAAGTTACATAAATAATTCTTAAAAAAAATAAGTAATCACAACTAAGACAAAATAAAGCTATGAGTATATTTCTGATAAAAAGATGTCAAGAGGGGCCAGCAGGTAGTGTGGTGGTTAAGGGCACTGGACTCCTACATGGCCGACCGTGGTTTAAGTCCCAGACCTGGTGGTTTGCTTTGCTTTCTCACTTTCCTTCTCTCTCTCTCTCTCTGTCCTTCTCCAGACAAATTAAAATAAAGAAAGTTAAACAAATTAATTAAAAAAGAGGTGTCAAGAAATTTTCTACAAAATAAAGATCCCAAATATATATTAAACAAAATACATTCTTGGAAATTTCATGGGGCAAAAAAGCTTCAAGTAATTTAGTGCTATTTTATAGAAAGGCAAAAATAAATTTCAAGGCATTTTGGAGGAAGATAATCTCTAACAAACAATAATCGACTCAATTCAATTACAGTGCCTTGTTGCATTCTGCTGATCCAGAGTATACGGGTAAGAAAAAAAGGGTTTGCATCTTTGGCTTCTTATTTATTTTATCTGCTTGTCTGCTTTAGATGATAACTTAGGAGCAACATGTACTATTCTAGAAGCAAAATTCTAATTTCTTTTTTCCTTATTTTAGTTTTGTTATGGGGTATGTGCATTCACCCAAGAGAAACAGAAAGAGAGAGAGAGAGAGAGAGAGAGAGAGAAGGAGAGAAGGAGAGAAGGAGAGAAGGTACCCCATAAGGGAATGGCCATGCCACAATCCCTTCTCTTCCATTCTCCTTTCAGCGCTTTCAGTAAACATGCACACACACTGGCCATGGTTCTAGAACTTGAACCATAAAGTCAGCCATGTGGGATCCAGCCGCCTTAACCACCATGCCACCTGCTGGCACCCCAAACTCTTAATTTTTTTAGCATGGTAATAAGTGCTTGAAAGTACCTAAACAAAATAGACCTAAGTTTGAGGGTGAGATTAATGGTCCCAAGGAGTACACCAGCCAGCACATAGAGGAGAGGAAAGCAATCATGGGTACAGAGGCATCAAATGAAGGGTAAACTATGAAAAGTAGTGAGGAATTCACTGAGAGCTCACAGAAGCAACAATCCTACAGTCTAAGTGGTCTATGAGAGCCAAGACCCAAGTCCACCTGGTCAATCACTACTAGACAATAGCTGATGTGGGCCCTTGTTTGTTCTATCTATATTCCACTGCAAAATCAGGAAAAACCAGTAAGCTCATCATCCTCTTACCTCACCTATATAATCTGGAAGGCTGAAACTCCACAGCAGTCAACCAAACTATATGTTATAACAACTAGGTCTGGCCCACTGACTTCACCTGCTGAGCTACAACAGTAAGGTCAGAAGAAAAGATGGTTTTCCATCTCTTCAGAGCTTCCTGAACTATGTTCTCCAATGCTTCTAGATGAGAAACAATGAGCTATTCAAGACTCTGTGGGTCCCACATCTTAGCTTTAATTACTTATAGGAGGCCAAACTTCATTAGTTCCAACTCATTTGAAAGTCACTTTCAGGTAACTGAATTGTGTGTGTTAATCTTGTCTTACTTTCCCTTTCCTGTTTTATTATTTCTCAGCACTCCCCTCCTTACCCTTGAACCCACCTTATTGTTCTTTTCTAATACTGTCCAAGTTCTTGGCTTACTTATCTTTCTTTTCTTTTTTTGAGATTCCATTCTCTTTATAACCTGTACTTCAAATTCTCAAACCCCTGTTTCCTTCCTTCAGATTCTGCTCTTAAATCACTTCTCCTTTGTACTGCCAATACAGCAGGTGGCTAGCAGAACATTACGTGCATGTTGGTATGTAGTACCTTGTCAATAGCTTCTCAGTTGTCATCTGAAGCCATAAAGACCTCTATAAAGTTCAAAGAATGTACCAAAATTTTATACTTGAAAGCAATTGAATATAAAGTTTACAAAAGTCACCACAGAAGATCCAGGTACTTAAAGTGATTTGTCCCTTAAAAAGTCATAACTCAAGTACCTTTCACTCTCAGCCGTCTGCATTGTCTCCAGTTTTGAGTGGGTTCCTCTGTTAAATCCTTTTACCTCCTGCTCTTCCAAAGATTCCAGCAGTCGGATGACGTCTTTATTCACTCCCCTGCGCTTTGCCAGAACTAAGGGGGTAGCACCTTGATGATTGCTAAAAAAGTTCATAAAAACAAAAAGGCCATCATAGTAATTATATTGTTATTATCCATTTGCATAGATCTCAGTAAAGAAAGGACGGGCCTGATTAACTCAAAATTAAAACCCAGAACACAGCCAAAGTTCAACCCAGAAGCTGAATTTTTTTTTTTTTGAATTGGTTTTTGCTATAGGGCGCATGCACTTGCCAGACAGAGAGAGAGAGACAGAGAGACAGAAAGCGAGAAATCACCCCCTGGGGGGATGGCCACGTGGCAATCCCTTCTCCTCCATTTTCCTCTCGGGATCTTGGGTACGCACGCACACGTGCCCAGCGTGAGTTTTAAGTCACCGGGTCTGGGATGCGAACCGCAGTCGACTACATGGGAGTCCAGCGACATAGCCATTATGCTAACTGCTGGTCTCCAGAAGCTGAATTTTGACTTAACCTATATTTTTTTTCCTTCAGAGAGAAGGAAAAAGCAACTATACAAGGCAAAAGAATGAATAAATGGCAGTAAATAAAGAAAAAGAGAGCATCTTCTCAGAGATTAATTGGAAAGTCTAGTTCTAGACTCATTATTTGACATTCACTTTTTTATGGGAAAACGCCATATTTTAAAGGTCTAGTGAAAAAAGGTCTGTAAGCTTCTTCGGTTCATTCAGCTAATATTTAACACTAAAGACAGGAGGGAACCGAATTGCCTTGAATCCTGCAGTCAATTCCCACATTTTCTCCTGCAGTCATAGAACCTTTTACTGTCTTATTCAGATTCAGGGGCATTAGCACCTGAATAAATAAGGGCAGCACATAATTGTGACTTAAAAGTCAAGCTCAGCTTTAAAGGTAGCCTGGTTAACTTCCCCATTCAAAAATAGTGTATTGCTGAAACAAACAAAACCCCACAACTTTTCCAAGTTGTTCAGTCTAAAAAGAACTCTGAACTCTGAGAGATTAAGACATTATCATGGGTATACTCCATGACAGAAGGCAGATGAGCTTTGGAGTCAGCAGAATGAGGTCCAAATTCCAACTCTGTCCCTTGTAAGGTACGGTGACCTTTGTCAATTCATTAACTAACTCTTCTTGTCTCAACTATCTCATTTGTAAAATGAAGATAACGCCTACTGTAAGAGTTATTCATTCTGAAGATTAAATGAGCTAACATAAACATCGTCTAGTCAATAGTGGATTTTCAACAAATGTTACTTGTTTTCTCCTTTTCCTCTTATCTTATATTACACCATTAGTTAGGAGCTGGCCACTATTTTCATAGGAAAGAATTAAGCTGTTTTAGCATAAATCTAGAAGTCGGAACCCCCAAGTTCCCTTACCTGCCTATTAAGATTACATTGTCCTGGGACCAGCAGTTAACATAATGGCTATGTCGCTGGACTCCCATGTAGTCGACCGCGGTTTGAGTCCCAGACCCGGTGGCTTAAACTCACACCAGGCGCATGTGGGTGTGTGCCCAAGATCCTGAGAGGAGAATGGAGAAGGGATTGCGGCGTGGCCATTCACCCTGGGGGGTGATTTCTCGCTTTCTGTCTGTCTGGTGAGTGCATACACCCTAAAAAAAAAAAAAAAAAAAAAAAAAAAAAGATTACACTGTCCTCACTGCCTTTTTGAACTTGTCACTACAACTGAGTGAGGAAACAAAATCGACATACTCTGAGATTTGACCACTGGTTGACACACTAATAGGAAGAAATGACTAGACTTCAGAAACCACAAAAACTTACCAAATATCAATTTTGAGTCCGTTGGAAACTAAGAACTGAATAGTGTCCACATGGCCACAGAGGTGAAGAGCTGTGTTTCCTTGGTAATCTGTGGCCAGAAGATCAGCACCAAATTTATGTAACAACTGGCAGATGTCTACATTCCCTCGAGCTGCTGCAAGGTGAAGGCCTGTTCTGCCCCTGCTGTCCCGAATATTTGGGTCAAAGCCACTTTCCAAAAGCCGCTTGGAATAGTTAAAGTCTCCATCAATACAGGCTTGTAGCAAGGGCACATTAGTCTGAGAAGAATCGTTCACAAAAACATAGGACATTGTTCTGATGTGGTGGCTGGAATATGCCTGTAATAGAATATGAGGAGAGTGAGACTCCATGAAGCCAAACTGAATCAAGATAATGACATCATTGAGTAAAGCCCTATTTCTTATCCTCTTTGGCCTCCTGCCTCTAATAGATTACTTTACCAAACAAAAATAACAACAAAGTTTTATCAACCGTAACTTATTTCCTGTTAGAAATGTTTCATTTTCTTCACATCCGCTGGATCAAAATTACAATTAAATTGCTTCAAAATTCTACTTTGCTTTTTTATCATGTAGAGATTAAAAGATATTCTTAAAACTATGCAAGATATAATTGCTTTGATATAAAATTTAAGTTTACTGCATTATCAGAAAACAGATAACATGATCTTTAAACTCCATAGAACTCATTTATATATATTTGCTCTTGTTAGTAGACATTCTTATTTAATAAGTAAATAATAAACTAATTTTCTTTCACATATTTGCTTCCTCTTGTATTTGAGATCTTCTGTATAATAAACAAAACTATCTCCATGAAAAACAAACAAAAAACCAATAATTTAGCATGCAAATGTAAGGACTGGCTAGGACATCGCATTTATAGCATAAATTTCAAGCTTTATAGAAACAGGAAAGCTAAGGAAAGTAAGAACTTTAATTTAAAAACTGGAGATATCATAAAATCAATTCAGATTCTTCTTTTTACAGTATTAACCTTACCCTCGCTTTTTTTTTTTTAAGATGAGAGGTTTTTGCTATAGGGTGTGCTTACCAGAGAGATAGAGAGAGATAGACAAAAAGCAAGAAATCATCCCCAAGTGGGGATGGCCACACCACAATCCCTTCTCCATTTTCCTCTCAGTATTCTAGGCATGCTTGCAAACATCCTCAGCATGAGTTTTAAGCCTCCAGGTTGGGGACTTGAACCATAGTTGACTACAGGGAGTCCAGCAATGTAATCATTATGCCCATCTCCTGGTCCCAACCCACACATTTAATAAGCCTAGTGACAGACAAAATTTTTTAATCACAGCTACAAAAGTGAATCAGCCCTGGGCATGGGCAGGAGGCGTGGTGGTTAAGGCGATGAACTTCCACATGGCCGACGACTGTTCAAGTCCCAAACCTGGCAGCTTGCTTTTTCTTTCTCCCTTTATCTGTCTCTCTCTGGTTAAATTGAAGAATAACAATAATAAATAAAGTTAAATAAATATTTCTTTAAAAAAAGAAGTGAATCAGCCCTAAGCCAAGGCCACAGTTTCCTTATGGTTTTATATATTGTAAGGAAATCCACAGTAGAAAATAACTCACGTAAGTCTTAAGATTAGATCTTCCGTTCAGTGGTCACTGAGCAGTTTCTCTGAATTCTGCAGAGGGTTCAGCAAAAATATTCAGAAATGTGCTGACAAGGACCTACAGTAAATAGAAAATTCAGTTATAACAAAGAGGTGCCATGGAAAAAATAGTTATTCTATTAAGTACAGACAGCTAGTGGGACCTACAGATATTCTCCAGAAAAATTTGTGGGTGAGAGGCATCAACCTGTAAGGTTAGTGAAGTAAACAAGTAACAAAGCAGTGAAAAGGAAGAACAGAGGGCAATTAATAAAAAGCTGCCCTACTGCCCCCAAACAAGAAAGCATGAACAGAAAGGTAAAAGAAAAAGTATCAAATCAAGTGCTACCAGTAGAGAGCAGGTCTCTAAAATTCATTCTCAGTTACTGTTTGGAGTGCATATCGTTCACATTCCAAATGGAGGCTAGATCCCAGATTAGTCCACAAGCCACTAAATATTTAGTTATAAAATATGAAATATTTAGTAATATACTACAACTTGTAACGGGGATGGGTGAAACAGCCAGTGTGTACATCGAAACCAAGCAGGATATACTCAAGAAAGAATTTGAATCTATCACAGAGGTTGGTACGTGACTGTCTTCCTGCATTGCTCCTTCCTCTTCAGTGTGAGAGAAAGCTTGGCCCAAATCTACCTGCGGTCTTCTCTGCACTGCCTGACCTGGCTCCTCTAGGCCTGCACTGCTCCACTCCTCATGCTCTCACTGGGCCCAGTGGTTGCACCCTGTGCAGTGAGATAATGAGAAAACCCTGTCTGTCCATTCTACTCTTCTTTGGAGGAACCATGAAAGTGGGGTCATGGACAGGACCGTGGACCTCAAAAAAAGCAGTAGTAATTTGCTAAACATTTACTGTGTGCCTGAAATGTGCCTGATATCATGCTAAGCAGCAGGAAACAGAACCCAAATTCCACAGTCACGGTCAGGTTGAAACTCACGTTGACCTTTTACTGGCCATTCATGCCCACTGTTGGCAAATTCTTTTAAATACACTTAAATGGGGAAATAATAACTAGTATTTTATGAAACTGTATTTATGATATGTAAGCCAACGGCTATCGGTGCTACGTTGAGTTGTAACCAGTGATGACGGCTGACAAACTGTACGTGAGGACCAGTACCACTACAGCATCAATAAATATCAGGAAGACACGATAACACAAAACATCTATCCTCAATTGTTTCCTAGTTTTCTGTGATTCTATATTATCAGTTCTGACAAACTTTGTATAACTAAACTACTTGATTTAATTTTCTTGAGTAAATATTCTGAATTCACCCAATACCTAATCTTTTTCTTCTCTTATTCTGACCATTGGAGCTGAGTTTTCATGAATATAGGCTTCAATTTTCATGTTAAAATGGTGCTGGGGACAGCAGGTGGTGTACTGGTTAAGGCACTGGACTCCCACATGACTGATGGCTGCTTGAGTCCCAGACCTGGCAGCTTGAAACTCAGGCACAGCACATGTGCGTGCATGCCCAACATCCAAAGAGAATGGAGAAGAGATTGTGGTGTGGCCATCCCCCACGGGGGGTGATTTCTCTCTCTCTCTCAGTCCTTTCTCCGTGTTTCTGGTGAGCACAGGTGCCCTATAGCAATAATCTCTCATGGGAAAAAAATGTTCAAGGGGGTTTTTCTGAAGGTAGCAGAGTTCACACTATAAAAAGAACAAGTTTTAAGTTCTGGTTTTTATCTTGAGACAGAATTATATATCATACACTTATGTCCCCCCTCTCCCCCAAATACTGTTACCTTAAACTCACAAGAAAGACAATGCTTCTGCCATTTTCTTTTGATATGACAAGGCCTCATAAGAAAACATAATTGACTAAATTACATATTTACTTATGTATTTTATATTTAATATACAAATGCATTAGACTGAACTACTAGAATCCTGCCAAGAAAGCTCCCAAAACTCAATTAGATAAAAGTTAATCACTAGAAATCTATTAATAGCTTCCCCATGAAAGTCAGAAAGTGAATAAAAATCAGAACACATATTAACTATATTCCAACAGGTGAAGAGGACTAACACACACACCCCCCTTTTTGGACCAATCTTGTAGCACAGCAATTAAGTACTGTGCAAAGGAATCCAGATCCCACATGGCTGACCAGAGTTTGAATCCCAGACCTAGCAGCTTATATACTGGTGCATATGCATGTGCTCAGGATCCTGATGGATGGAAAACGATTATAGTATAACCAGGCTCTGTTGGGGGGCTCTCTCTGTCTCATACATGCACCCTCTGCCCTAATAAAATAAAATAATCTTAAAAGACAGGGTCTTGCCATGTTGTGATCCTGCTGCCTCCCAGTTGAGACCACAGGTATGTGCCACCACGTCTAGCTCTTTTTATAGACAGGGTGTTGCTATGTTGCCCAGACCAATCTCTAGCTTGTGGTCCTCCTGCTGGGATTGCAGGTGCACGCCACTGAGTCTGGACTTTAGGCCAATTGGGAACTGAACCTAAACTTACTGTATGGTCACTGCCTGCAGAACACAGCATCTTAGCAGCACACACCACTGTAGCTGAGCCAACTTAAGATTTTTTTAATGCCTTTTTATTTTAAGATACCTGCAGATTCACATACAGTTGTAAAAAAATACTATCAAGAAGTCACATGCACCCTTTACTCAGTTTCCTCAAACGGTAACATCTGGCAAAACTATTATTGCAAGATCACAACCAGGATGTTAAAACTGACATAGTCAAAATTCAGAACATTTCCAACACTGTAAGAATCTTTCATATGTTACCTTTCCTTCTTATTTTCCTCTTCTTAACCTTTGGAAAGATCACTCAGTCTTCTATTCCTATAATTCTGTCATTTCCAAAGTGCTATATAACTGGAACCATATTTAGCACATACACAACATTTTGGACTAGCTTTTTACTCAGCATAATTCTTGAGAGATTCATTGAAATTGTGTATCTTGTCTGTCCCCCCTTTTCATTGCTGAGTAGTATTCCATGTTATGGATGTATCACAATTTAACAATTCACCTATTAAAGGACATTTGGTTGTCTCTGTTTTGGGGCTATTTGGTTAAAGCTTTTACAAACATTTCTGTACAGGGTCTCATGAGAATTTAAGCCTCCATTTCTGTGGGATAAGTGGTCAGGAGTGTAACGCTGGGTCACATGAAGGTCTAGAGACTTCGACTACAACACTGTTGAGCATGAAGGTGCCTACCTTCCCCATGCAAAAAATAATGTAAAGTCATCTTTGGAGTCATTTGTCTGTGTGACAGGTTATCTATGGAAGACTACGTAGGAATGAGCATTTGGAAGGGCGCAGGTAGATGTCCTGGTAGTGTCTAACAAGTACCATTCCACAAGCAGAGTTACGGGCAGTATAAGAACGTGAACAGTGAACTGCGTATGTTGGCATGTGCCTATGATCCAGGGCTGGCTGAGGCTAGGGATGTATTGTGGCATCAAGACCTTACTGGAGGTGCTATCTCTCTCTCCACACTCATGAGAGAGATAAATAAACCGAAAGAGAAAACTTCATCTGGGATGTGTCTGGAGTTGGAGTGCCTGGCTTTGAACCCCAGCTCAGCTACTTACTAGCTGTATGACTTAATGCTCAAAAAATACTAAAGAGTTATTATCTTTCCCAGGCTGGGCACAGCTGTGGGGAGACCATCCCATGCTGCACTCAAGAAAGCTTGTGTAGAACACTGATCCCTTGCTAACAGAGCAGCTTCCAGCAATGGGGTGACATCTAGTGGGGAATAAAGACCTCTAAGAAAAAGACCGGTTCCAAACGGGCAAAAGCCACATGACCCAGTGTAAAAACAGTCAATAGTGGGAATAGCCTAGTGCCAGAAAGCACCAAGGCACAGGTTTCTAAGGGACAGTGTCAAATGGCAGTTCAGAGGCAGACTAGCTAGGATTGCCAGAAACAGAATTCTGGGGGTCAGGTCTTAAAGGGCTGGCATAGTCCAACATTTCAAACTTCTCACTCTGCTTTATGGCACTGCCCCAGAAACTTCATGAGGATGCAGTCACTCATCCTTTGGGATGAGGCAGTTACCTAGCAATGAGAGCTCCTAATGTCATAAAGTGCTGCCTCAACCCAAACAAAGCAATGGGGAGGTTCTGATGGAGGTTTGTGAGTCACTGATGTGATGGAAAGCTCTACCTAATATCCTGGCAGGTTGCACAGGGCCTACCACATGAATGTTTCTTGAACTATAAAGAATTCAATCATTCCTTCCTGAATACCCACTCAGGTTCACTGTCACAGGATTTTAAAGTAACATTTTTTAAATGATTAGTTCTACAGCTCATTTTAAACATTTAAAAAATATGAATGATGAGGAAAAAATAAGTTACTCATCATCTTATGAACTAGAAATAATGATTACTAATATTTTAGTAATATTAAATATATAAATACATATATGTAATTCACACTGTTAAGCTTTACTCAATCTATCATAACCATATATGTTTTTATTTCATATTTAAATTTGTGGTAAATTTATACTTTGTGGCATTTCCAACATTTTAGCTTAGTTTTGTCGTGTCTAAAGTACTTAATTTTATTATTTCTCCAATGCCGAGCTATTAATTACTTTACAATTAAAATGGCACTAAGGCAGTAAAGGTGAGGTTAATTTGAAATGTTTGAATTATAGAATGATACCTAAAAAAAAGTCTGGTTCATTATGTTTTTCATATAGTAATTAAAACTAGGTTAATCAGGTATTACTTAGTAGATGTTCTTAGGGAACTAAGCTTAGTGTGAAGGGGAAAAAAAGGATTTGTTAGTATGTCTGCTTCTACTATACAAACAATTTCATAATGATATTTGAGATATATGATATTTGACGTTTGTTAAATCAGTATACTTCAGGCACTGTTTTAAGGATGTTTCCCGTAATAATTAATTTAATCCTCATAGAAACCCTATAAAGTACTATCATTACACTCATTTCACAGGTATAAAAACCAGTTACTAACTTTGATTTGTAACATTCTTTTTTATATAATGAATCAGGTTAGCAAACCTATTCATCAAAGATTATATAACAGGAAA